CCCAGGAGTCCCTCCCGCTGGAACTCCTCCCGCTGGCACCCCAGGAGTCCCTCCCGCTGGATCTCCGCCCGCTGGAACTCCAGGATCCCCCACTGCTGGCCATGGAGATGACACGCCATGCCCTGAGCTGACTTACAACTATCCGCCGAGTGTTTCGACACCCCCTACTGTAGGAGGCGATCATTCAACCAATACCCCTCCTACCGGATCGGGCTCTCCACCACCACATGGTGTAACACCCTCATCGACTCCCAACGTTGGTCATGGTGAAGACACTCCTTGCCCCGAGCTTGCCTACAACTATCCACCTGGTGCAACAACACCCACTGGGGTTGAGGGTGATCACTCAAATGCTCCGTCACCCAGCACTCCTCCGTCTAACTCTCCCACACCTGGTTCGGGTAATCCGACACCCCCGTCGACGGGATCTGGTAGCCCAATGCCACCCTCTCCCCCTTCGACTATGGTTGGTGGCGCTCCACCTTCGAATGGAAACCAAACGACTCCATCATCGGTCCATCATACTCCTACGACGATGGTCGGCGGTGCTCCACCTACAAATACAACTGAGCCCGGCTTGACTCCTCCCCCATCTCATGAGCCCAACAGTTCCACACCAACAGGCGAAATGGGCTCTCACTCGACGACCACCCCTGAAGCACAGACTCAACACCCTGATTCCCCATACAGTCCAGTTCCGTCCGAAAAGTCTGGCTATGGACCTGCTACTTCAGAAAACAATGACGAAGATGTTGTGCAGACTGATCTTCGCTTCCTACGCAATTAAGCGACCTATCTTTGCTTCTGAAGGCAATTGATTCACGAAGCTTGTCCGATTCATAGGTTGCTGTTTTTGTTCATGTCAGGCCAAGCGAAGCAGCCAAGTTATCTTGCGTAGTAAGTTTTACATTGCGAATATAGCACAGCTTGACCTTTTTACATAATTTGAATGCATCTTTGATTCCAATGTTTCGATTACTTCGTGTTAATTCTAAGATTTCAAGTAAATATTTGTCTTAGAGGACAAGATAGACATTTTACAATTGATAAACAGCGGCGCCATCCAACAAACTTTACAGAGTGGTCATCGAATATTCAAATCGAAAAATCGTCACATTCCGAGCTAGTTTTGTTAGAGACGTTTTGCCTTTTGGACTTCAAGTTAGAAGCACTATTGATCACGACCTCTTTACTTCCTGCAGTCGCAAATCTTACTTGCTTCAGTCAGAAGACACTATAACGAAGGGAGTATTCATGAGCAAGTACATGAGCAGTATCTAAAGGTGCGTCAATACGTGTGATCTAGGAGTTGGCCAAACTAAAGCATTCATCCCAATTCAAACCGATAAACACTAATGGTAATTTAAAATCTGCATCAAGTTACGCTAGCCATACAATGTGCACAAGCTCCTCGAACATTGATGGCTGAGCTTTACAGTATAGTGCACACTTTATTGTGGAACATAGTAATGGCAGAATTGACAATTATTGCAATTAACTGTCATCAATTTTGTCATGTCGACACCGAAGGTCGAGAAAACTGTGCATGGGGAATTGGAACTTCAGCCTCCTCCAGGCCAGGACGCGAACGGTATAAGTGTTGGGAAATGGTCAAGCCCTGTGATCCCCGATGAATCTGAAGGATTAATGACCTCCAATATAAGTCTCGAGGTTTGTTGTCCGTGCATCCCCTTGGCGCAGATTGAGATCCGAATGGGGATTCAAACTTACACAAGGGCGATAAGCTGGTACGCGACTGCGTACGGGATCTTAACTTTCGCGCTCGGCACTTTTTGGCTCTTTGCTACCTTGTGGATCTGCTCAAAGGCCTATCGTGATGCGACGAGTATCCTAGTTCGCATCCTGGTGCTTGTTGGATCACTGGTCCTGGCAGTCATCATGTCGCTCTTATTAATGTACCGCATCTCGATGCTGCGCTCGACAGTTCGAGAACGTTTCGACATTCCCGGTTCTGTCCGTGAGGATCGTACGGCAGCTTGGCAAGAGACGGCACGGGCTATCCGTCAGATGCGACGCCATCTTAAAATTGATCAAGCCAAGTATGGGGCAGTTGCTACGTTGCCGGCTTATGTAGTGTAATTCTAATATAAGAAGTGTGACTGGTCTGTTCGTTTCTATACTGGTTTGTATAGAGCAGAATGATGCGATGTCTTGACAAGACAATTCCGATGGCACTTGAAGGGCTTCAACAGCGCAGGGAGACTAAAAAGCGGCTTCAAGAGATCGATAATCTCCTAAATGACGATTTGGATGAGTTACCAGCGAGAGCGACTGTAAATCGGACAACTCAAGCTCACAGCTTCGGCTCTGGCCGTAGTCCGAGGAAAAACCGTCATTACTGGGTGAGCAAAGGTCTATCAACCCCTGGACCTGGGACGTATGCTGTGACAAATGCTGATAGTATTGTCAAGACGAACGGTGGAACTGGTGGAGCGCTTGGACCGCGTTGTGGTGGTTGCTGTCGCTTTCAACCTTGCGAGTGCAAAAAGTCTCGAAAGGAAGCAAAGACGCAAGTAAACGATTCTGGAGGAAAGCCACACGTTTGTAAAGAGCCTCGACACTCTTATCCATCCGTCGTTGTGAAAGTTAAAACAACGAAATCTGCTAACTTTCGGTCTGAAGAGCAGCAGCGACGAGTGGCCGCAGTACAAGCTGCGAAAGAACGCTGGAAACGAGTGGGTCAGAATATGACACCTAATTATTGCTGGACAGAGCGTCGTGTAGCGACTGGGGGAGCGCTTTCAATGGAAAAAAGTACTAGTCGGGATGGATATGGAAACAATACGACACGGGCCAGGCTGCAAAAACTGCTTATTGCTGATCGAAAAAAAAATAAACTGAATAAGACGACTCACGCGTTGATAAATTGCTAATGGCAAACAATTTGAATGGTTGAGAAGACCTGGCTTCCTAACCCAGCCATGCTTACGGCTTAGACGGGAGACTCGTTATTTTGACAAGCAATTCGCTTTTCAGGATCTGACCGAAGGTCTAATTTACGGCATATGCCACTGAGTGCGCATATTAGGGCAGACGTTTGTTGACAAAGGGACGTATATCTCGTTAAGTTTACTGACGAGAACTGATAAAATGCGTAATCCAGAGAAGTACAATCAGAGCTAGCTAGACTCGCTGGTACAACTGTTTGCATAAATTCAGCCGTCGAAACGATCGGACATCATCAATGTGGATGATTTTGGTAATTGAGTATTCATATCGGTGGTCGACGTTACGTTTGAAGATCTTGTGTATAATTTTGAAGCGACGTCATGTCCCCTCGTAAAGATCGCACATGTGTGCAAATCTCTACAAAAGGTTCCACTACATAGTATACAAAACCAGCCATGTGGCATGTGCTGCAATTTGTGTTGTCAGCGCTCTACGTTGCGTACGCCGACGTATCAGTACCGTCATCCCCATTGAATGTGGCTTTGGATGTGCTCGGGCCAGACGCACTTGCGATTGCATGGGAACCACCCACGACTGATGGCGGGGCACCTGTGTCAGCGTATTTGGTGGAGTGGGATCCAAATCCAGGTGAGCGTGAGGTACAGATCATACAGACAAGTGTCAATACGGGCGCGAACGAAGTGCAGACTGTGCAGACGTATGCTGGGCGAGTAAACGAAATACAGCGCGTGACTACAAGCGCCTCAGTCGTAGCGGAAGTGCAGACGATCACGACGAGTGCAGCTCCTGGAGAGACGCTGGGCGGTGTCTTCACCGTTCAACTCGATACGACAAAGACGGGAGGAAGCATCCAGCGCTCAGGAGTAATTGGATTCAATGCCCTGGCTTCTGGTGATCGATCAGGTGTACGGGAGATCCTCAACTCAATGCAGAATATTGGACCTACAGGTGTTCAAAGTGTGCAAAAGTCAATTGCAGATGCACAGGGTGGCATTACTTGGACCATCACATTTAGTACAGCAATGGGTAACGTGCCGCAACTCACACTTTCATCGAGCTTTCTGACTGGAAGTGGCGCCAATGTGGAGATAAAGACGTCACAACAAGGCAACGTGATTGATGGCGGAGTTTTCACACTGGGATATTTGGGAAGCACAACAAAAGATCTTGCAACAAATATCAGCGATGCGGGAATGCAAAAGGCACTCGAGGATCTTGCGTCAATTGAGTCAGTCGATGTCATGCGGATTGGTCCTGATGCACAGCACGGCTATTCTTGGGATATCACATTTACTGGCGACTTAAATTCCGGTGATCTACCACTCTTGACAGTGCCATCCAAGTATCTTAAAGCGAATGGAGCGACCGTCGTTATAACGGAACGAGCGGCTGGAAATCAGTTAAAAGGGTCTTTCCAGCTTAGTTATAACTCCGCTCCTACAGTCGACTTACCATTTGACTGTAGCGCTGCCACGATGAAGGTCGAGCTTGAAAGATTAGGAACTGTCGGGACTTTAGAGATTGTGCGCACTCAGAAATCGGATCTTCAGGGTGGATTTACTTGGCGTATTTCATTTCTGACGCTTCGAGGATCGCTTCTCCAGCTGGGTGTAGACACAACCAAACTTGGCGAGACACGAACGGACAGTGCTGGACCATCGATGGGGATTCAAGTCACAAGGACGCGTCCAGGAACGATCCAGGAAGTCCAGCAGATACAGGTCAGTACAGTGAATGCAAACGTGAAGCCAACAGCATCGTTCCAGCTACGGACGACGTTTGCAGGGCAAACAACGACTACTGGACCCATTTTTGCCAATCCAATGAACGACGGAACGTGTATGCCGACGCAGCCTGAAGTTCAACAAATTTTGGTTACTACTGTCGATACGACAGGGAGCGGAGGTGATTTTCTGGTTTCAAAAGAGACTGCCATTCAACTAGTTTACACGAGTAACACAGAAGGGGGACAAATCATTAAGACTGGACCTATTTATCTTGACAAATCCGGCGATGGAGATTGTACGAAAGGTGCACTTACAATAAGTTCAGAGCTCAATAAGCTCTCAGGCATTGTTGGCTCAGTGACTGTGACTTCGAGTGCATTGTTGGCCACACATGCTTGTACTTGGCAAGTGACATTTACAAATCAACCGGGTAACGTTGTTCAGCTCAAAGTCATCCCAGCGTTAAGTGGAGCTGTTGCGTCAACTTCAGTCACTATAGGTGATGACACAATTACGCTGAGTACGATAATAGATGGAACTATCAACGTGATCAAAACAGAGCTTGAACGTTTGACAAATGTGGCTCAAGTCACTGTGACTGCCACGGCGGGACCAAAACAGTCGTGTACTTGGCGCGTCACGTTTGATGGTAACGCTGGAAACTTACCTCTTATGACAGTCTCGACAAACAACGGCGTTTCTTTTGGTGCTGCAGGAACAGTGAGCGGAGACACAATCACAATAGCTGCCAGTATCGATGGTACATCATCTGTTCTCGGTGGTGTGTTCGCTCTCGAGTATGAAGGTCAGCGTACAGGTTACATGCCATTTGATGCCAGTGCAAGCGTGGTAAAAACGCAGCTTGAAGTTCTGTCATCTATTGGCAATGTGGATGTCACGAGGTCGAATGCAGATCCAAATAATGGATTTGCCTGGACAATATCTTTTGTGACAAATCTTGGGGATCTGCCGTCGCTGCAGCCAGATGCACTTGCACTAACGGGGACAGCTCCCAGAATTGACGTGACAGAAGCTAAGAAGGGTGTTCTGCCACCTTTCAACAGCAAAGACCGCATCAATAGCATCAGTTTTGACAGTCTCGTCGTCACTGACCTGAGTGACTTGTCTGTAGTTGCATACCACGTAGACGAGAATGTTCCATTTTACTGTCGCGTATCCGCAATTAATGCTGTTGGTTTGGGGCCGCATACCATGTCGACACCGCAGTACGCCATTCCTACGGCGCAAGTACCAGGCGCTCCGACAAATGTCTCACTTTCAGCACTTGACGGCTCGACGGTGGCGGTAAGCTTTAGCTCCCCAGCAAACGACGGAGGAGCACCTTTAGATGCTTACCGTATTGAGTACGGGACAAGTCAACTTGTGGATGAAGTGCAGCAAATTCGGCTGCGTGTACCCATCACTAATGAGATACAAAAGATCAGCATAGTGACTGATACAGTGAATGAAATTCAGCTCATGCATTTAACTAGTTCGTTCTCTGGTATCGTTGCGACTGAAGTGCAACAAGTTATGTGCGATGCAGACAGTAGTAAAGGGACATTCTCCCTCACATTCGCAGGCGAAACGACAGCTCCAATTTCAGCAAGTCAGACTGATGTCACAAAAATCAAAGCTGTTTTGGAAGAACTGAATGTGATCACAACTGTGTCGGTGGCATTTACTAACGGGCAGACGACTGCGTGTAGTCCTTGCCCGATCTCTGGCTGCGCTGCAGGGTTTAAAGTTACCTTTATCTCCGTCCTAGGCTACGAAGGTGATGTACCTCTTCTCACAGCAAATACATACGATCTAGAAGGAAATCGCCGTATCGATATCAGCGAGTCAATCAAAGGTCAGGCTCCTGTCAGTGGATCATTTAAACTCACGTATCTTCGAGGTAAAGATGCAGACACAGTGGCTCTTCAGTATAATTCACCGGCAGCTACTGTTCAAGCCGCCTTATCAGCATTGGATTCAGCAGTGACGATCGTTGTAACGGATGGAACGAGTACATTACCAAGCGCAAATGTTGCAAGGGGTGAGAGGTTATGGCGTGTCACGTTTCAGAACGGCGGATACATTCCTGACATGGTGATTCGACCGGTAAATAATCTCTTGCTGGGTAACGGCGCTGGAATTGTAGTGTACAGTCGAGGGGCGACACCAGATCCCAGTGTTTCAGTGTCTGTAGGTGGTAATCGCGTGTCAGGTTTTTTTAAAGTGACACGAGGAGGCCACACAACAGAGTCCATTGAACATGATGCGTCCGATACAACCGTCAAAAAGAGATTAGAGGCACTTCCAAACATCGGTTCTGTTACAGTGACGCGGTCCGCGCCGTCAATGAAGAACGAGTACTCTTGGACTGTCACATTCGTTTCGAATCCCGGCAATTTTCCTCCTGGTGCGGGAAATATGGACACGCTCGTAGCTGATTCATCATTACTGAAAGGCACAAACAGTCAAGCCACTGTGTCGGTGGAGCAGCAGGGATCGTTGCCTCTTGATGGCACTTTTCAACTCTCATACACTGAGGGTGTCGTAACGCAGACCACTGCCAATTTATCGCCGTACGAGTCATCTGATGGAATTAAACGAGCGCTTGAAACACTTCCTTTGATTGGTGGCGTCAGAATCTCGCGTCAAGTTGAAACTGATGGTTACTCTTGGTTTGTCACGTTCAGTGAATGTAGACTCAATCCAGCTGTGTGCAATATCGGAGACGTAAATTCAATTTCAAGCATTGATACGAGTTTACTTGGTGGTCTTGCATCTGCAGTTCCCACAATAACAGTCACTGAAGTAATTAAAGGAGTCGCGCCGTCATCTACGCTGATGGTGGCGGATTTATCAGGTGGAGACCCATTTGAGTCGGTTATTTCAAGCTTAACGTATGGCACGACGTACTTTACGCGCGTTAATTTTCATAATGAAGTAGGCTTTGGACATCGAACTAAGTCAGTACCGGAGTTTGTGAGAACGAAAAATTTGCCACCTGGAGCTCCTTGGCCTGTGATGCTTGTGTCGTCAACAGCAACTTCCATAACAGTTGCGTGGGACAGACCGACGGTGAACGGTGGTGCCACTGTGAGTGGCTATGAGCTTTGGATTTCTGAGTGGGCGGAGTCATCGTACAGAAAAGTGTATGATCGTCCAAACGATGCAGTAACGCTGCAAACGACGCTACAGACAACAGAGGACAATGTGATTGAATCGGGTCACAGATATAATTT